GTCAAACACATTTCACGCACGGCAGTACAAACAGGATGGGATATAAAACCCCTAGACTCGCTTTGAAAGCCGCCAGATACACACTCTCTCTCTCTCTCAGGTATTACCTTATACTAGCTGCTTTTTCTACTTGAGAGTGCAGCTCAAGGTCCTCTAATTTCATCAAAATGGCGTTTCCGTCTCCAATTAGTCGCGACTAGGATGGGTAATTCGGACACTTAAAGTGCAACAGTACCCAAAGCCGTAAATGAAAGTAAAACATTGGTTTTGTCGAATTTTTCCGAAACACTGGCAAGAATCAATTTTGGAAAATTATGGAAAGAGGTTATTCTAAAAAAGGGAGGCTGGCGAATCAGGGTCTGTCGAAGAAACTCAGTCCTACTATAAAATCAGCTGAAGAATTCAAACAGTCGAAAAAATCTCATAATGCGTTATCTCATGGCAAGCATTCAGTCGGCCAGCCCATGCGCTTGAGAAAATCACCCTGGGGGTGCATATTCTCAGTGGCCCTTTCGAGAAGACAGCACTCGTGCCCAGAGCGCCAGCCAATGAGACCACTGGTGGTCTTGGGAGGAGGCGTGGGAGATGGGATTGGCTTTAGGTAGTCAATAGCTGACTTCGACACAGGAGGTCTCATATTCTCAGGCAATTCTATTTTTGGCCGGGCTTTATCGATCAGCTGTTCAATATCATCGCCGAGTACCTCTTTTTGAGTTTTAGTCAGGAAAAGCCAACGTGTAGGCCAGATCTTCGCAGTCTGCGTCTCTTTGCGAATACGATCCTTCCTGAGAGGGCGTTGTCCTGAATAACACAAGCACACCTACCACACGAGATCTTTACTGAATTCTTCCATCCAGATTTTGTGAAAAAAGCAACTTATTTAGTTTCCGATCGTCGCTTGGCCTGTATTGAGTTATCTGCCTGGAAAGAAGGTAACAATTTTAAAATAACCCTCATTGCAATAACAGATGGGTAGACTTAGCAAGAAGAGCTGAGTCGAGATCTGCTGGTCAAAACTTTTATAAAACAATGGGCCTGGGAGGGAGGAAAGAAAAGTTCGCAATTCAGGTTCTGTCACTTGTGGCAGCAGCATGTTGTAGTGCTTATGAATGATCTCATGTTTTGCGCCAGCACTGCCATTACCATCCTCCATTGCCATACAGTGATGAATCTGCTGTGTTTTCTCCCGTCTTGTCCTTTGCCTTTGCATATTATCTTCCATACATTCAGATGGTTAAATAGAGATCTCTATTTAAAGGTAACCGATCGCTTAGCTTACGTAATCCTGTTGCCTAACCGCACATTTCACCATATTAATTATGCAAAGTTGCAATAAAAGTACATCGGCCGCGTGAGGAGTGATGCTGGTAATTTCTGAATCTTACATTTTCATAATAAATCCTTATTTTTCCTGCGTCATGACGCCTTCATTCAACTTTCTTGGGTAGTAAAGCAGTACGTATAGTAATAAATGGGATGAGAAACGCGGAAAAGAGCATTCGTAGGTGCTAAAACGGAAAAAGCGAAAAGGCACGGCGTCCCGCAATTGCATAGCGCCGTATCGCGACTTTTCGTCGTTGTTTTCATAGCGATCACATGGACAAAATCCGCTATAAATCGGTCATACTATCGCGACTTCCTCACAGCAAGGCGCCAACACCTCGCTATGGATTTGTTACTATAGTAACAATATATAGTAACAATATATATACTATATATATACTATACTATAGTATACTAGGCCGAAAAATAAACGCAATCCTCTACGCAAGTT